CAATATATTCAACCAATAAAACTCAAATGTGGAACAGCATTAGGTGCACCAAGTGTTACAAATGGTGTTGGTCCTGGATGGGGAACAGATTGGCTTAGTCAATTTTTTAGTAATTGTACACTTCCTTCTTGTACATTTGATTTTCTTCCCATTCATTGGTATGGAAATTCAGTATCCGATTTCAGAGCGTATGTAATTAACGTTCATGCGCTTTTTCCAAATTATCCATTGTGGATTACTGAATTTCAATTTACTGATGTTTCAAGTACAGTAACAGCCGGTTATGTAAGAGGAACTTTACAATGGCTCGATGCACAACCTTATGTTGCAAGATATTCAATGTTTGGACCAATGAATTCTCCAAATATGGCAGGAATTCCTAACGGTGCAATGGTTACAGATGACCTTAGTCAGCTGACCGAAGTTGGCAAAATTTATGCTGGCCTCGCATAAAAATAGCAGCAATTGTTATCTTTAAGTCAACAACTTACAGTTGCAATTAATAAAAAGAATTCTATATTATTGAAATAAAGATCATATATCAAATCGTGTTTAGTTAAAAATATAAGAGAAAAAGATAGTTAGCTTTACATAAAACATTAAGTTAAAAAAGGATATCTAAACACATATAATTATATTTTATTTTATAAAATCTTCTTCCCAAACATTTAAACTATAAATAATTTAATAAGAAATAAATGTTTTGGTTTTCAACCAGTATATAACATCATTTCTTAGCCACCGAAGTAAATAATGTAGACTTCCATTTATTAACAAAATAAGAATCCCATTTAATTGGTGCTTCATCTAGTTGATATTTATTTCGTTTGAGTTTCAAAGCATGACAGATGATATTACATACATGTGTTTGAAAGAATCGTTTCATACCAGCTTTACCAAGATTTGTTCGACCAAATCGTTTAAGATCAGTTGCATGTATACATGGATCAGTTAATAAATAGGTTTGATGATCACCTATATCAATACCTTGTAAATCAACAACAATCATTTCACCATTTGTACGTTCATATGTCCAATGTGAAAATGCTTGTAATGTTAATGCTGGATCTTGATAATTGACATATCCAATATTATTCGAAAATTTCTTATATGCACCTTCAATAAATCTTTCCATTGTATAATAGCGAAATTTACCTTCACCTCCTTGAGGCATAAAAACTAATTTCGTCATTATAAATTTAATTTTTTTAATCATCGCTGTTGAATTATTAATTGGTGATAGTTTATTAAATTCTTGTGCAAGATAATCGGCAACTGTTTGACAATCTAACATTTCTAAATATTTCTCTTTTGTATTTTCACCATTAGTAACACTTTTATATTCTTTAAGAACAAATTTTCCCCATTGACCTTTAAATAACATTGAGCCATAATATGCTAAACGTAATGCACCTTCTGCAAAAGGATTATCAGCAACTTTTAATGTTAACGATTGAATTACTTCTTTACAACGTAAATTAGCATTACATTCATACTTGATGACTTTAACTTGTTTAGGCGGTATATTTGCCCATATTGGTTCTTTTTCATCAAAAACTATACTACGTTGAATACTACTTTTTGATGTATTATGTGTACCCGGAGGATTTTCTTCAAGTACAGGATAGTTTTTCAATAATGATACTGTTGCTCTTGAAATCGAATGTGTTATAGTATCAACTATAAATGGTAATAAATTTTTAAAATCTCCAACATCAATTTGTTCGATCGTCATTCGACCTTCAGTGTATGTAGTAAATTGTTCAATCATTTTATCAGTATGATGAGCTAGACGACCAAAGAAATATCTCACTCCTAATTCAACAAGTTCATGAATTAATCTATATCCAATAGCTCCATTATCATCATGTGATAAATAGTAATCACATACATCAGCTAAATCATGATATCGTCGACCATGTGATGGACCATCAGCAATATGTATCAAAATACGTACAGGTTGTTGCCAATTTAGATTTATTGTTCGTTGTAAACCTCCAAGAACATCTTCACAAGCATCACCACCATTTTTACATACTACTGTTGAAATAAATGTATAAAATTCATTTTCATCTGTAAAATCTAAAATACTAAATTGTTCTTCTTCACTTAAATCTAAATCGCGATAACCAACAAATGCTAAACGTATATTTAAAAATGAAAAACGAGTTTTTAATAATTTCACCGTTTCCAATATACGATCTTTAACTTCATCAATATATTTTTGCATACTACTTGTACAATCAAGTAAGAAACAAACATCAACTAATTCCGTATTATTTATTGCTTGCATAACTTCATGAATTTCTTTTGTACGTTTTATAATAAATTCTTTTGATTTTTGAGCATCTAATTGTTTTTGTGTTGTAAGAAATAATTTATCCATAGTTTCTTTTTGTAACATATCACATTGTTTTTTTATTTTTTCTAGAGAAATATTTCCATTAATATTGCTCTTCTCATTACGTTCAATGGCATCCAATTGTTGACGAAGTGCAGCTATATCACATAATTTGCTTGGTATATTCGGAAGTACAACAGATTTCTTATCCATTTTTTTTCGTCCTATAAAAATACAAAATTCATTGAATATTTTTTTTTCTATTTATTATAATCTTTTATATTAATATGATTGTATGAAAATCATTTCAAATACTTCCTTTTTTT